ATTTGTTCCATAGCGCCTGCGCCGCGTCGATAGTCAAGCTGTCATACCTCCCCAACTACGGCAAGACAGGAGATTTCCTCTGGGACTCAGCTAATCTCACTATCTGGGTTGTGTTAGTACATATAATTATCTGTACAAACCAAAAAGCAAGCTGACAAACATTGACAGAACGGAGTGTAACACGGGTATCATCGCGGCATGCCTTCCCTGCCTGAAACCACTATTCCGACATATACTTGAAACATCGCGAGGTTATGGCTCTAGAGGATCTAGAGGCGGATATTGGTCTAGAGACGGATACGGGCCTAGCAAAGGCAATGCCCATTCCCTTCACACGTTTCGACAAGGCGATCTATCAGGATCCAAAGCCAATACTTCGGTCGTTATAAGTAAAGTTTTGAAGAGTCAAAATGATGGAGTCTTGGACTTGGAGGACGATTCGAGTGAGAATATCCTGCCATTTCAAAGCACCAATGCCATCATGAAAACAACAGTCGTCGCGGTGGATAGCTTCTCTGCGAATTCCGATAGACGCTCTGTGTCGAGAGGAAATGATGTGGCACCTGAACGGAAGGTTGAGGATAGGGTATGATCATGGGTGGGAGGGTTTTTGTTTTTAACTTATAGTTCCAGCGCCAGCGCACATTTGAACACTTGTGCGAGATGTATGAGTTATGATGTATCAATATATGGCCGAAGGGGCTAGGCAAGGCACAGCCCATACTAAATTTAAGGCCAAAGAATCAATACTAATTCCTTATCGATAAGGATTAGTAGGGATACTTGACAAAGCCTATGAGTGACGAGTTGAAAGTAACGGGATTCAAGGGTCTCCAAGTTGTCGACGCCAGCGTAATATCGACATTTATCACCTCTAATGCAAGCTTGTGTTCATGCTCTCGCCGAGCATGTAGCAGATATTATCCTGTTATTTAATTAGAACGACAGTGTACCAGTCATCGTTTTGAAACGTCTGGGGAATGGACTCATCTTAAGACTAGCCTTCAATCCCCGAAAGATGAAGGATTGAAAACCAATCGTTCAACCAGAATGATCGATCAAGCCTGAATTGATAGACCAGAATAAACGACCGATTCCCCATCACTGGCAACTCCTGAGTGATTTATAATCCTAGTTCTTATGTCCAAAGTGACAGCTAATATTCACAAACTTTTCTACAGTCAAACATCCTTATAGAATCCTTCACATAAGAATATAACGACCTGTCCACATTTTTTGGGGTGAGGGGGCAAGCTAATAAGAATCCTGATAACTCTTTATTTCGTAATAACTAACTTGTCAGAATATACATGATAGAAATAAGACTAGGGTCGTCTTGGATATCTTGTTCCTCATTGTTTTGTAGAAATTGTCATAGAGGCCTTGCTCTGCAAGGAAGTATGCAAGACAGTATACACTCAATAAAGTGCCTGGATGCTCCTTGCTGAGCACTTTCTCTTTCAGCGCCAGCGTCTGCCTGTATATCGTCTCTGCCTCTTTATACTTGTCCTGGTTGTCCAACACTTCTACCAAGTTGTTTATGGTCGGTAGTATATCTGGAAGCTCCTTAACGAGCACCTTCTCTTTCAGCGTTAGCGTGTGCCGCTAATATAATTCTGCTTTAGTAGGATTTGCATAAATCTCCAGTGCTGCTGCCCTTTGGTTTGACTATCTATCTTTTAGTGCCACTAAGCTTGGGTATAACAGCCTCCTTTTACATGAATCTTCTAGTGTTACTAAGCTTTGGAATTGCTGCTCCAATACGGCACCAATACATAGCTCTATCTCGATTTAGCCCTGATCCAGCTGATACTAAGCCCTCTGAACTATGCTGCTAATGTAATTCTGCCTTACAAGGATTGCTATGAATCTCACTATATTACTGTCCTTTTGGTATGACCTCTTGGATGCAGCATTGATGTGGCATGAAATCTCCACCTTGTTGGGTGTCTACCAGCTAATCTGCCTCCCATTTTTATTTGTGAAGTTCTGCTCAATCCTGGCAAGCCAGGATTTACATCAATCTTCCAGTACTACTGAACATTGATGTAACTCCTCCTGCTGTATAATATCACCATCAGCAGGCCTTACTACCAGCGATCTCACTATATCAATCCAGCTGATACGATTGTCCCTTATATAACCCCTTATTTGACTCAGTAAAGTCTTTTGTAATGCAATCTTGTAGCTGTATAAATTTTATAATGGTTAGCCGGCAAACTATCCGCTAAGATAGGGACTAAGGCAACCCCTTCCAAATATAGAGTCAAATATACACTACATGCAGGACAAGAACTAAAAGAAAGAGAAAAGAAATACAAGTATAAAGTATAGCATGAAGAGATCTAAAAGCAAGGAGAAAGTAAATTAAACGCTATTGAAATTAAAAATCACCTCTAGTAACCTTATAGAATAATGTTGCTAAGCGGTTTAATTTTATTACGTATACTTGTATATAAATAGATAGGATCTAAAAATGGTTCCGGAGTAATCCCAGTCAGGGCCAAAATAGAGTCTATACAAAGAGACAAGATAAGGAAAGTATAACCGGTTCTTAAGGTAGCCAAAACGAGCCCCTGCGGATACTAAAATGGCTCTTTAATGCATGCTCACGCTTACTTAGCGTATACTCAGGCCGTGCTCAGGCCGTGCTCAGGCTGTGCTCATGAATGCTCACCCATAGCTCAGGCTAAAGCAGCAGCAGCTCAGGTCCAAAGACGGAAATGGAAAGTGTCATAAAAACATTCCCGTACTGAATGTACTGTAACACGAGCATGTATCATGACCCGTATCACGGGCCTTCGGCGCGTCACGGCCGCCCTGCAATAGTTTTGTGCTGATGGAGAATAGACCTCGATTTCATCTGATAAAAGCATGTGAATGACAATGAAGCTCATGTATACTATTCTTTCTTATGTGTGCCTTGCGGCTGCGGTTCTTACGATGGTGAGCGCTGAGAAGAGTCCAAATTTGTGGTCATTCTCACAGATGACCAAGACCTTCAACTGGGTTCAATGGATTACATGCCCGAGGTTAAAAAACACCTGACAGATCACGGAACTTATTTCAAGCATCACTTCGCAACCGTAGCATTATGCTGCCCATCTAGGGCTAACATGTGGACTGGAAAAGCGGCACATAACACGAACATTACTGATCTTCATCCTCCTTATGGTGATAACAAACAATACAACACCAATTCCCGTGGTTATTTACTGACCATTTACAGGCGGATATCCGAAGTTTATTCATGAAGGATACAACAAGAAGTGGCTACCGGTGTGGCTCCAAAATGCGGGATACAAAACTTACTATACCGGAAAGTTAATGAACGGTCACACGGTGGAAAATTATAAGGACGAGCTGGAGAACCTGAGTTTGGATGGACACGACTTTATGATTGAGCCAGGTAAGCTATCCGACCGAGCAAGATAAGAGCCGTTCTGACTATGTAGGCACATATCAATACTTAAATACTACCTTTCAACATAATCTAGACAAGCCAATGTCTCACCCCGGAGTGTATGCAACCGACCTCTTAACAAACAGATCGATTGATTGGATTGATAAAGCTGCTAAAGAGGAGGCACTTTTCTTTCTAGCAATTAACCCGGCCAATCTTCACGGCAACTTTGATTGGGCCATCCAGAAGTATACACCACCAATTCCAGCAAAGAGGCACGAAGATGCTTTTCCTGGTGCTGAGGTTCCAAGGAATACCCCTTCTTTTAACCCTGATAAGGTCTGTATTCTCGTCTCCTAGCCAACTTTAGGCGCATGCTAAGCCATCCACTAGCCAAGCGGTGCAAGCTGGGTCAAAGAACTGAAGCAGCTGAGCCAGCACCAGATCAGTGAAAATGATATCTACTACCGTCGACGTCTGCAGGCCCTTCTAGCTGTCGATGACTTGGTTGACCGAACTATCACACGGTTGAAATATCATAATATACTTGACAATACATATATTATCTATACTAGCGATAATGGTTTCCATATCAGCAACATCGGTTGACTCCTGGAAAAAGATGTCCTTTCGAAGAGGATGTAAATGTCCCGTTGGTCATTCGTGGGCCAAAAGTTCCCAAAGGTAAAGTAGTTAATTTTGTCACCTCGCACACTGACATCGCACCTACCATTGTACACTGGGCCGGCGCAAAAGGACCAGGAGACTTTGACGGCGTCCCTCTCCCCGTAAATGCAGAGCCTGGTACTCAAGAGCCTTGGGAGCACGTCGAAATTGAGCATTGGGGACAAGTGACCGACAATCAACATATTCCCCTATCAAAACGAATCAATACCTACAAAGCGGTCCGTGTAACCGGTCCGACATACAATCTCTACTTCTCCGTGTGGTGTGACGGGGATCACGAAGTGTACGATATGACTGTGAGTAGCACTTTTTGCTTTTAAAGTCCTGGCATTGACGTGCCGTTACTAGAGTGACCCCCATCAGATGGACAATTTGTATAATATACAAAGGCTAATGCAACCTCTCAGACAAGTCTTCACTGATATGCATACCCCCTTGAAAATACAGGCAATAATCGGGAGGGCTAGGTAAACTCGTCCAGTGGCAACTCTAGACCAAACTTCCTCCTTCTCCCTGGGATCAGACCACCGTCCCTGCCCCTGGTGTCCAGCCCTGTCTCTCACTCAGTTCTGTTCCTAGATGGCCATCGGGGGGATTGGTCGCTTCGCTATATTATTGGTCGCGGTTGTAGGGCCCTATCACCCTAGTCTCAAGCTCTTTGGTCGCGTATCAATGAATTGGTCTCGTCGCTTCTAGAGGCTCACCCCTCTAGAAGGGTAGGGTTTTGCCCAGGTTCTCGGTTAGGCGACCGCTGCTGTGGTATCCGGGAGCAGAAGCCGGGGCCAAGGTTCTCGGTTAGGCAAAAACCGCTGCTGTGGTAGCCGGGAGCAGAATCCGGGTTCAAGCTAGGCCTAGGGGGAGCAGTCCTAGGTGAACTAGCTAGTCATCTTCTGGGAGGCAACAGAAGAGGTGCCTAGAGCTGGATTCGAACCAACATCCCTCACATCACAGGTTTAAATAGGGTGGGCGAGACCTATTAGGTTCGATGATGACTTTTGGGACCCAGGCGCACGACCACTGCGCCATCCGGGCATAGTGGTAGGATAACTAAAGGGCTAAATAATAGTAAGAAGATCTAGTCGCAATTCTTATAATTGGGCAAGAAAGGACGCTAGAAATTAATAAAACGAAAAAATGGCAGAAAAATATACGGGCAATTCTCTCTTGAAACAAGAGTTTAGACACAGGTGAGGAAGGGTATAAACCTCTAAAGTTAGCGGCGGGATTTTAGTTACTCATGTCCTTCCCTGACATAAACACCATATTTTATCAACCACAGCTGTGCTTATAAAACTAGCTGCACAAAACGGCAAGAAATACCGAGTCCGAATTTGGCGATATTCTATTCCTCGACGGTCAGCCACTGCGTTCACTTAGCAGATGGTATCCACCAATAGAATCCATTAATCCGATATTAACTCCATAATAAATCATTGGTTATTGGGTAATTATTAAGCTAGTGCCTATGTAATACCACTCCTGCAATCCGTACCCAATAAAAATACGATGAGGTATATGTGTTGGTGATTGGCCATCCCTTTGTGTTGACAACGGAGATGTATTGCTCGAAGGCATGCTAATGCATTCACGCGCATTTATACCAATACGATATCCTTCAGCTCTGCAGTAGCCATCATCTCTCCATCCATCATGCCATGCATATAGCACTCCCCTACAAGTTCGTACGCCTCATCGACTATACGGTCTCCGTCCTTCCTGACTGAATGCCGAAGAACGAATGGTGTCTGGGTGCCCTCAATTACAAATACCAAGTCACCCTCCTGGCTCCCCGCAGGAACTGCCCCTATGTACCCATTATCTAGAACACAGAATCTCCGGTGCAGACTACATTGCTTGAGAGCAGTCGCAAATAAACTGGTAAATAAACCGATGATCTGCAGCCTAAGATCACCGTCCAGGAGACCAGGAAACCTCTCCACTAGGTCCTCCCGGAAAGGACTTAGATCTTCTCCCCAGAGCCTGGCCAAGAGGACACGCTCTTGAACGTCGTATATAGTTCCGTGGGATCCGTAAGATGGCGGGGCAGGCCTTTCGTTCGGTGTGCGATTGCCGATAAGTGTCCGCCAGAAGACTTCGGGTATGTCTTCGCCAGTGGGATACGGATCTTGCACCCATTGAAGTGTCAGATCCCTAGCCTGCTCTCGCCACATCCTGGTACCTTCAAGACTGGCTCCAACCATCTCTTGAGAGAAGTCCAATTGCCAAGTGTCTCCGAGGTGAGAAATTTTACCCGTCAGTATGCCTTTGACTTCAATACTGTCTGGAATGGGTCCGAGGCGCACATATGGTGATGTTGTTTTCCCCGGCAGCATACCAAAAACATTTTGTGACCAAAATGACGCTCCAGTAGCTGCTACGACGATTTCCTCTCCATTTGGCGAGTTGTAGATGTACGGGTCGGATGACGATCCTGCAGCTCGATAACAGAATTCGTATCCGGCTAGGTGATGGGCAAGACTGTAGGCAGGCGGAACATTGCTCCAGTCTGGTACCCATGAAGGAAGATTCTTGACGAGTCTTGAGTATCCGATTCCGGCCAGAGGAAGAATGCCGAGTGGGATTCTGAAAGCTGAGGCTTCTCGTGTGAGCAAGTTCCGAGCTGTCTCAACAAATATGTCGTGGTCTGATCTAGCGTAGTTTATCGTGGTGGGAAGACTAGGGGATAGTCGTAGTAATCCTCCGAACATCAACCTATCTCGCTCTGCTTCCGCAGAGAGTCCCATCAGAGCAAAGATTTTATCCTTCGCCTCTGTTGACTTATTCCGCGAAAATCTGATGAGAAGATTGTGAAGGGATTCTTTCGTCCCGATAGTTTGCTCCACGCTTCTCATGCTGTGCATCTGGCGGAGTGATATCATAGCTGATGGCAATGATGCTCGAGCAAAACTGATCTGTGCGGTTGTGAGAGTACTCATTTGTTTCGTCATCCAAGAGGAGCAAATACTTTCTACTACCCAGTGGAAGGCATCGAGAGGTACCTCCTCCGACCCATAAAGGACACTTGCCGAACTTGCAAATATGACTTCTTGAACTACCCAGACTCTCTCAAACCAAGGATGTTGTAAGAGATTGATCAAGGCGTGCCATTCGGAAGAGATCTCGGTACTTTCTGGTATGCCGAGACTAAGTAGTTGGTTCATGCACCATCTTACCGTGACTACAGGTGTCAATATCTTTCCCAATAACCACCAAGGCATATAAACTTGTGATCTGCCCCACATCGCTGCCGCACGGCTACCCCATCTGGGCAATACATTATCCAGGATAGACTCAGGTGCTACACGCCGAACGAGGGCTGATAACTTTTGAGCGGTTCTAATGAGCAGAGGCATCACCCAGAATGGGCTGACCTCTATCTGCGCACGGTACAGTCTTCTCACAAGACCCATCGCCAGTGGAGCATCATCGCTATGGCCAAGCCATATCACGACATTGGCGGCGTGGTGGTATATGTCACCCATCATACCGATTTGTGTTTCCTTCTCTCTGTTGTTGGATTGGTTGATACAAACTGCGTCGATCCAAATGTACATCTTCTGCCCAGGACGTCGCACGATATACAGAACATCGCGCACGTTCGTCGTAACAGCAAAAGAAACCTCGTTGAGAGAGATGGCATGTAGATCATTCCCATCTCCCCATGTGTAAGAGATGGCATGGTAGGGTGGCGATGCATCAAAGGGGAAGGATGTCAGCCGGCAAGTCAGCGGATCAGATACATCTCCCGGCAGTAGTTCGATTAGACGGAAATGTTTCGTGGTTTCGAGCTGATCGTACTCAAACGGCCAAGCTTTCGAGCGTTCTAGTAACCCATCCATTGATCGCAGTGTACCTTATGTTCGAGAGAGCGAGCATTTCGGAATTGAAAGGTGGGGGAAGACTCGGAGATAAGTTGCATAAGCTGCCACCTCGCAGTTGATTGCAATTCAACTCGGCAAGAAAAGTCCCTGTTCTCTCTTCTTTCAGCCGCAGCTGAAAAGCGTTGGATTACTATTATTCATAAGTGTCTGGAAATAAACCGCTAAAAATAATTTAACAAAAAACAAACGACACTCAATTCGCCTTCTACTGCACGATTGAGCGTGATATAATATTAATAAAAACCTACCGCCAACAAGGAGAACAATTATTTGTGGCCTACATCACAATTAGCGCTAGTTTGCACCGGCGGAGGCAGAATGGCTTTTATTACGGAACCAGCTAAATCCCCGCCAGACTTGGCTAAATTCCCGCCTTTGCCTGAATCTTAAAAGCGATCAAAACATTACCTACTTTTTAAAAGATATATCTATATAGGGATTCAGACACGCCCTAGACCCTCCAAGCCTAGCCCCTAACTTCCTAGCCGTTATGTTTTTATAGTTATAATTGTCTTCAAAAGACTTCAAAATTACTTACTCGATGTCTTACAGAATCTTGTGTAATATTTCTTGAATTTTAAGTAATATTTCTTATTGACTAGGTCCTAGGGCTTCAGGCACATTTACACATACTACACATCTGCCTATTAGGCTGCCTACCGGTGCCTATAAGGTAACCAGGTGGGAGCCTATTTGGTGACTCAATTGAGTGCATAGTATTGAGCATAAAAGGCTCTAGTTCTCCTGAATCTCTTCTTACTTTAGTTGTCTCTGCATCACTTAATATAACACTGAGTTTCACCTTGATCCGACTACAACCTGTGCACCTATATTGCCTCCGTTCAAGATTTCTTCGCGTAACTATCAACGAGAGGAAATGTGGCGGGGATTTACTGGCCCCTTTATTATTACTTCAGTATTCTCCTCATCTTCTACTCGCTCCGAGTTTCGTTCGCGCAAGGATGGAGCATACTCATACCATAATGCCCGAACCCTCGTAATCTCATGGCAATATCGAGCAACCTTCGGATTACTGCCATACATATCATCAGCATCATATAACAATATGATAGTGCTCCCAAAATCATAAGTTTTGTGCTGGGACAAAAGCCTGTGCAGAATTCGCCGGCACCTATGCACCATTTCCCTGCATGCAACCCTCTCTAGGAGTCACCGGCAGAAGCCGCATCGACGAAAGCATCTTATATATGATATGCAAGTGCCGAAAACAATAAATTGCTTGTAAACTATATGGGACTTTTGAGAATATTGAATTGAGTGGTAAGACGACTAAAGTGCCAAATAATAGCGGGTGCCTTCCGGTCGTAATTCTCATAATTGGCCAAGAAAGGACGGTAGAAATTAACGAAACGAAAATATGTCGGGAGAAGAATAGAAATTAATAGAAATCTCTTGCATTTTGGGACTTACATTCTACCATCAGTGTAAATCTCGCCACCACTCGTATTTTGTTCCCGAATAGGTAAGACTCGCATCGCTGTCCTCTCAGCTCTTCGTCATAGGAATTAAGAACACTTGTTACATCTTCGCTCTTCAATGCCAATAGAGAGCAATACCTTTACTTTCCCTAACTCTCCTTGTCACATCGCTCCTAGGAGCTCCACAGGGGGCGAAAGAATTATGTCACAGCTGTTGAGTTTGATTTAGAAGGTAGAAATTTGCGGGGCTTGTTATGGAATGAAAGCGGTTAGGGAGTGCGAGGGATTTTAATACAGCCAAGTAACCATACGCGATTTGATGCGCCTACATCACAGAGGATGGATCATCAAGCTTGAATTTACAACTTTTTAGATCGGAATCACAAGGCTGTTTACAAATTTGAGCCTTTCACTTGTGATTATTCTAAATGAGTGAAGTTGTAAGCTCGCATTATCTAAAAGAATGACGGAGAAGATAAACGCAAAACGATCCTGACGGTTACCAGATCCTCCGTCCTAACCATACACGATACCGCGTCAATGAAGTCTCTTGGGCCTTCCATTCTAGTCCCTCTGATGCTGCAAGGAGGCGAAAGTTGTACCCGCCTTCAGTTGTTGCACTCCCCCTTCTCACTCCCACCGCAGCAGTCTATAAACTTGCCGGTATGGGAACCCGAGACATCTTGGCAAATCCCAGCCTACAAGTTGCAAC